GTGCACAGGTGACAGGAGGCAAAGGTGACTGCACAGGCCCGGAGCACATGCAGCAGTGTCCCCTGGGAGCAAGGGGACATTAGAAGCTCAGGCAACCATGACCCTCTAATATCTCTCTCAATCCCCAAAACCACAGACTGTCCTGGGGCTGGATATGGGCTGGCAGATATGGTAGCAACGTCACATGAGTTAGGAGGGCGCAGCTCTACCCGAAGCCATGGGACTTGTCAGCTTTCCTATGGACTCATATGTCCCCTCTGTCTCAACCGCACAACTCCTCATCACAAGACCAGGTAAACCATCGGGCAGGACCCAGTGAGCTCCAGGACCTAGCACAGCCTCCCCCAGCATCCAAGGATACGGTGAGGGTGCTGCCAGCCTTGCAGTGGTGCAGCACCCACCAGGGTACTTACGGGGAGGCTGCTGCAGTGCGTGCACCACAGTGAAAGCTGAGACAGGGGCGCGGAGCAACACAGCATGCTCCTGGGGAGAGGCCCAGGTGGCTGACACCAGCTCTGTGCCATCGGTCCAGAAGAACCGGCTCTCAAACACAGCCAGGCCCAGAGGCTCCGTGTGGCTCCGCAGAACAGTGGGAAAGGAGTGGCGCCCGCTGCCATCCACCCGCAGTGTCTCGATGGACTGGGGACAAAGCAAGGCATGAAGACCATGTGGCATCCCCATGCCCTGGCACTGTCCCACAGCCACAGGCCTCATGGTGGTGCCATCACCTCCCAGTCCAGGGATGTAGGCCAGACCTGGGCACTGCTCCCTGCTCTCTCCCATGCCTTGGAAGTAGACAGAGGGAACCAGGGCCACCCTCCCAACTCCCATCTCATCATCTCCCTGTGGGAGGAGAGCCCTGCTGTCCCTTGTCCCTACCTCCTTGTACTCGCTGATCCAGTACAGTCTGCCAGCCACATGGTCCAAGCTTAGCCCCACAGGCTCCTCCATGGGCACCACTGTGAGCTCCCGCCGGTTTGAGCCATCCATGCCAGCCGCAGCAATGACTGTCCGGCCTCGCTGCCCACGGTTGACCCAGTACAGCGACCTGGGGGCAGGCATCAAGGAACCACTTCACAGCATAATACCAGTGCTGCCACAGCCCCACAGCAGGCAGGACATGGTCAGCACCAGCATCATGATCCCAGGAGCCTGGGCCAATCCTGGCTCATTCACTCCTCACCTTGCAGCCGGATGCACTGTCAGCTGCTCTGGTGCAATGTCTTTACCCAGCACTGTCACATAACCCCGGCCATCGCCCAGCCCTGCACGGATAGCTGGAGGATGGCTGCTGGCCCAGTACAGCTGCCCTGTGAACCAGTCCAGGGAGATGCTGTTCACCTCTCCGGCATCTGCAGAGACAGAGTAGTTTTAAGGCATACCAGCCTGCTCCAGGCTGCAAGGCAAACCCAGGTTGCCCCTTACTCTGTATAGGAAAGGCAGGACTGGGGTGGCAGGCCAGCTCTTGGCACCCATCTCAGCCCCACTACAGCACCCAGCCTCACTCCTCCCCACCTGTATAGAGGGGCTCCGTGCCTTTCCCCATGAGGTGAACACGGAGCTCGCCATCCTCTGTCAGCCAGTAGTAGGTTTCTCGGAGCTGGTCGTACACCAGGGCACGGGGTTCAGTCTCAGTGGAGAGCCGAGGCCGGTAGGCTTGGGTTCGTACATCCAGAAGGGCCAGGTCCTGCCCCACGGCCACCAGGATCTGTGTTGCATTGTCTGCCAGGGTGAGAGGAATGCCACTCAGTGAGCAGGGACGTGGCTAGCTGGGTGCACTGCCCAGCCCCTCAGCCAGCCCAGGCTCCCCAGCTCACCCTACCTGTCACTTCACAGGCGGTGCCATGCCGCAGGGTATAGCCCTGGAGGCAGGCACAGCTGTAAGTGCCTGGGGTGTTGCTGCACAGCTGGCTGCAGGGGCTGTACTCCAGGGAGCATTCATCCACATCTGCAGGGATAGGTGCAATCAGGAGCCTGCCGCAGGAGCTGCCCCAGATAGCATTGCCACTGCTCCCCAGGGACCACAGGCAGGCTCCCTAGATACCAGAACATGGGCCTTACCCCAAAACGCACCAGCTGCTGCTGGGACATTATCTAGATATGGCCTTTGTGGGGCCAGACATGACACATGGGCAGGAGCAGGGCAGAGGCAGGCGTTCCCACAGAAGCAGTGGCTCCATGGAGACCCTGCTCTCAGTGGCTGAGGCCACATGTGCCTGAAGCACACGCACCCTGATCTTTCCTTACCAGCACAGCTCTGCCCATCTGCCTGCAGCACCCAGCCAGCCCCGCAGGAGCACTGCACTCCCCAGTGTGTGTCAGCACATGTCTCTGCACAGCCCCCGTTGCGTACAAAGCAGCTCTGATCTGCGGGGACACAGCGAAGGGTGACATGAGGCAGGACAGCTCTGTGGCTCCCCTCCGGCCCCAGCCTCATGGGCAGCGGCCAGCAGCCATACCCAACTCACCACACGTGCTGGGCTCATCAGTGCCATCCAGGCAGTCAGCCTCTTGATTGCACATCAGGGACTCCAGGATACACTTCCCCTCATCACACCGCACCATGCCAGGTGGGCAGGTGGCTATGGCACACACAGCTCATGTCAGCAGGGCAGACCAATACCAGGTGGACAAAGGGGAAACCCTGGGTCCCAGACTCATGGGGAGGTCCCTCAAAGTATCAACAGTTCCTGGGAAGCTTGCCACCATCCCAAGGTGAGCTGAGGCCCAGGAAAGCAAAGTACTCCCTACTTCACACATGGCCTGGACAGGTCTTGCCTCACTGAGGAGCGTCTAGTGCGCTTGCTTACCGCACACATCTTCATCCGAGGAATCGCCACAGTCATCAATCCCGTTGCACTTCCACTCAGCCATGATGCACACCCTGTTCCTGCACTGCCACTGCCCAGGCAGGCAGGGCTGCTGAGGACACCCCTCCTCATCCCAGCCATCCTCGCAGTCCTGGTGCTGATCGCACAGCTCCCAGTGTGGGATACAGTGGTGGGTGCCAGGACACTGCACCTTCTTTGTCCCGCACACTGAGGAGAGAACAGTGCAGCACTCACCACCCTGCCCTGTGCCCCTAACCACCCCTACTCAGCGCCCCCAGCAGAGACTACGTACCACAGTCCTGCTCATCAGAGCCATCCAAGCAGTCAGCAACACCATCGCAACGCCAGCTGCTAGAAACACACCGGCCATCGTCACACTGCCAAACATGGGGGTCCCCGCCACAGGCAACCTCTGCAGGAACATCACACAGTCACTGGGACCTATTGCTATGGCAAAACCATAAGGGTCCCCTCCATTCTGGCACGGGACAGGTCCTGGCAATGCCTGAGCAGCTCTACCAAGGGGCTGGCCCACAGCAGCCCCCAATGGGGCTCTCTGGCAGGTGGGGTCTGCCTTGCTCAGCATAGCATCCAGGACATGTTCCCAAGCCACAGACATTCACAAGGAGCTCTGGGGCACACATGTCCCTGCAGGATGCCACACAGGCAGAACCAGCAAAGAGCAAAGTGCCTCTGGCCTGCCCTGCCCCACCACTCCCCAGAGCACCAGTGCCCCTCGATGCCCACGCAGTGCAGCCCTCAGGTCCACCCCACGACAGCGGATAGGTGTCAGTGTTCCCTCGCTCACCGCACTGTTCGTCCGTCCCGTCAGGACACTGCTGCTCACCATCGCAGAGCCAGGGAACGGGGATGCAGCCGGCGGCGCAGGTGGCCTGGCGTGAGGCAGCACACGTGGGGCCAGCGGCCGCTGCGGAAAGAGAGAGCCCAGCCCGGGATCAGCGCGGGTAGCAGCACCGGGCATCCCCCTGCACACCCGCCCTACAGCTCCCCGCATGTGGGTCCCAGCACAGCCCCGTGGGGGGGAAGGGACCGGTCCCAGCCAGGGGTACCCCAGGAACTCCTGCGGGGCTGGAGGGAGAACTACAGCCTCTCATCCCCGCTAAGGGAAGGCAGTGACGCTCCAAACCCTCTAAGCAGCAGTACAGGGCTCCTCGGGGCGCAGGGACCCCCATGCTGCCAGGATGGGAAGGATGCCACACGGAGCAGGGACACATCACCGGGGGGATGGGGAGAACGGTGGCACTCTCGGTGGCAGGGACACCCCACCCCATAGCCCATTGCTGGGGGATGAGCAAGCATCCCTGATGCTGCGGGCGCCCACCGCAGCCCTTCGGGATGAGACAGGGACCTCCCAGCCGCCCCCGGCCCGCCCCCCTCGGTCCTGGCTCACGGGCGCGGCGGGTCCCGACGCCGGCGGCGCTCCCGGCCAGCGGCAGCAGCGGCGGCAGGAGGATGCTGAGGAGGGCGAGGAGCAGGCGGAGCGGCGGGGGGGGGCGGCCCATGGCGGCGGCGGCGGCGACAGAGAGGGGCGGCTCCGGGGGTCCGGCCGGCACAGGGAGCGCGGAGCCGCGGCCGCCGCCTTTATGGCCGGGCGCGGGCGGCCATTGGGCACCGCGGAGACCCAGGCCCGCCCCTGGCTTCTCCAGGTTCTCCCCCCCGCTGCCCCGTGTCCTCCCGCCCGGCGGGGGTTGTTGTGAGAGCCGGCCGTGAGAACCGGGCCCGTGGCACCTGCGCCGGGCGTGGGAAGGCAGCGGCAGCCTTGAGCGCGGGGGCACCCCCCGAAAACACGGGGCTGCGCGCAGCCCCCCGGCTGCCCGCCGACGGTCCTCGACCTTGAGGGCTGCGAAAAGAGCCGCTGGAGCACAACAAGGAGAGGGAGAGCAGCGGCCGAGGGAGGAAAACAGCCCGGCGAGAGGATAAGGCACCTGCCACTGCCTGGGAAAGGAGCCTCCTCCCACTAGGCAAAGTGAGGGCATCGCCCAAGCCGTGGAGATGACCCCGGATCATGTGGGTTTGCAGACCCCTTGCTACATACTCGGGGGAAACTGCTGGTGTACTGCCCCCTCCATCATCTTTGTCTTGTCTTCCAGCCATCGGCATGTGGTGGCATGAGTGTCTGTCCATCCCCAAGGTTGGTCTGTGTTCTAAGCACAGAGGATGGGTGCTGTGCACTTATCCTCTCCAGCTTTCCCATCAAAGCGCCCCACTGCAGCACAACCCTATTACACGCTCCTACCCCGCTGCAGCCCAGGGTACAGATTCACCCAGCTGTCTGCTCTCCCTGGGCAGCATCCCAGTAACCCTGGGCAATTGGGTTCCCCAGGCACTCCCCAGGAAAACGCAAGTCTGCAAAACGCAAGGATGATGAGCATCCTCGGGGCAGGAACATCAGGCAAGGTGGTCTAGTGGTCAGGGGAGGGAGTGAAAAGGACAGAACAGTATCAAGGCACTCCCAAGCCCATGCAGAAAGCCCCAATGTCCTCATCACACCTTCAGGCAAATACCAAGATCTGTGGTAGCTCCCTGGGGATGTGTCTTGTACCCCCAGCTCTGCCACCCTGCAGAGAGATGTCCAGCACTGCCTCCACCCACTGAGCCTCTACCGCTGTGAGGACCAACCAAGGAAGGGAACAAAGAGACACCCCTTGCAAGAGCAATATCTCTGTGATCAAAAGAAGTGGACAGCACCTTGAGCAGGACACAGAAGGGACCCTCCTGCCTCCCTGGGTTGCCCAGCATGTACAGTCCTTTTCCTGCTTTCCATGTCCTTTTCTCAGGCTGGGAAGGGGCCATGGCAGCCTGCCCAGCTGGATGTGCAAGTCCCTAATATTTCTCTGGGCATGTAGCAACGTGCATTGCTCCTGTGAGACTAGTAGGCTTGCCTTGCCCACCTGTCCTTGTGTTCAATCTAGTTCCAGCATGGCCTTTGCTTTCCTCTGATATCAGGCTCCCCCCGTGGTGTAACTACACAACTAAAGTAGTAACTCCTCACAGCGGATGGCTGGAAAGGGCAAGAGACAGCAGAGAGACTGTGAAAAAGGGTCAAGAAGCTAGTGGGTGCAGTAGAAGGGCCCAGTGCACCTGAGCATTAGTTTGGGAAGCTGGGGCAGCAGTGACAGAGAGGACACCTGGTGTGGCCAGCCTCTTAAAATGCAGGAGATTTTTTTAGAAGCATGATTTTAAGTCAAAGTATTTTAAATATATGTGTATAGATAGAAGAATGTATAGGTACATGTGTGCATAGACAGTAGTCCACTCTACATAGTTATATGCACATACAGTGACTTCTCTATGAGGTAATGCTTGTTTCTTCCCCCTAGACTTTTGAAGAGGGTTTTTTTTGTATTTTCAGGTTTTTCTTTACATTTCCATCAGCAGGAAAGTCTCCTTTTCTTACTGACATTTAGACTCTCCCTTCTCTGCCTCCAAAAGCTAAGGGGGGTTAAGGAGAAGACTGGTATCAAAATGAGAGGCAGCAAATCTGTGCTCACTTGAACAGCAGCATGCAAAATGTAAAAACTATAAAAAAGTCTAGCAGAGTATCCTAACAAGTCTAAAGTAACATTTGTACCTTTAACTATTCCAAGTACAGCAAAAATTTTTTTTCAAATATCCAAAGGCAGTTTCACATCAAATAGTGTGATTTATTTTATATTGTTCATATAAAATTACATGTATCCTTTCTGCTATACAATTGATCAGATTCTCTTCTTGTTATTGGTGTAAGAAGTGTTAAACTATTCCTCTTCCTTTCCAGTAACTTTTAATCACTCTTTTCCTAAAGATAAGGGACATCATGCTGTTTAAAAAAAAAAAAAATCAGAGGGACACCCTGCCTCACATCAGTTATCAAACTTCTGCAACCTTGTTCCCATAAAGAAAGTACAGCTCTATTTGCTTCTGTGCCGTGTGGCCTGGCCATGCTCAAAATTAAACTGCCTGAAATTTACTGACTGAAATTTATGCCAGCAGAAAAACTGGATTTCATGAAACACCTATTTCTTCCTAGGAAATAATATTATTCAATGCTTAAGTTACTAAAAATAAAAACTAAGGGCATTCCAAACTATTTTAATAAAGGTATTTTTAATTTTGGTTTCCAAAACTGAAGCTTTTTCCGGGTAACAGAAATCAATCTTTCAGTCCTGAACAAACAGTCTAGATAATGTACCCCCAAAAACTACAACTCCTTCTTCAGGGCCTGGCCCACAGCAATCCAAAGCATTGGCCACACTGACTGCAACACTTCCATGAGACTCTCAAAGTTGTGGCCTAGTCTGGTGCCCAGACTCCCTGATATACCAGACAATCCTAGTAACTCTAGCCTGGGACAGCCTCGTGAAGTGAGTGACAGATGCTCTGCCAGGGGATAGGAAATGACTGCAGACATTGTCTTTCATTTCCTGTTTTTTTACCTTTCTTAGCAGCATTGTCTTTCTATTGCTTAAATGTCCCTCCAACCTGTACCCCTGTGAACAGCACCAGCCCCAAAGCAAACAGTGGTGGTGGCAGCACCTGCCTTGGTGGGTATTTTAATGAGCAAAATGGTCTCACACCTCCTGCCTCCAAGAGCCTCAGCATAGGCAGGAAGGGCACCAATGCTGAGACCTGTGGGTGGGTAAATCCTCCCACCTCCCAAAGGCCAAACAGCCTTGAAAAATTCAAGTTTACAAAACTAAGGCACTATTGTGGAGAACTAGGAAATAATAGCACCTGCTGTGATTCAGCTTAAAGTAACAGCATCCTTTACCACAGTATTCTTTCCATTAATTAAAAGAGGTTTGAAAGGAACAACATTCAGGTCATTTGGAGGACTAATTTTATGAATGCACTCAGGAAACAATTTCTTGTTCTCCGTAGTAACAACAAGAGCTACGCTGTTCTCAACACCCTAGATGGGATTGGAAACTTGATGCGTTTGCCCTCACGCTTTTTGTTTCAGAACACAACAGGAGAGAAAGATCTTTTTAAGAAGCAAGTGAATTATCAGGATAAGGAAATTGAGCCAGTTTTGAGCTCTTTCCCTGATTTTGGGAAATAAACCCAGAAAGTACTGTTTACTATCATGAAAGGTTCCAAAAAAAATTTGCTTCTTCTCAAAAAACTCTAGGCTTGTGATTGCATCTCCCCCACATCCTTGTCACCCTACTCTTCCCCAGCCTGCTGAGAGTTACCTGTGAGATCTGGGGAAGATGGAGAAAGAAATCATAACCTCCACTTAGAGATGCCACAGCCCCCTCACATCTCCCGTCAGGGCTTCTTCACCCATCAGGATCTGCTTGCGGTGTCTCCCCAAGCCGCCACTGGGGAGCAGCGGAAGGCTGCAGGAAGGTCCTGCCTTGTTCTGCTCTCTCGCTATCAGGCTCTGCGAGTTATCCCTGACACCTGGGGAGAACAGAGAAGGAAATCAAAACCTCCACCTGTAGATGCCATAGCCCATGCTCAGCCTAACAGCACCCCTGTCGCACATCTCATCTTTCAGACTCACGGGTTGTCACCAAACCCTGCTCAAAGCTTCCCTGCAGCCTCGCTGAGGAGAGCAACAAGGTGATACAGATACTGTGAGGAAGCCAAGCCCAGGTTTAGCCCAGAACAGGACGATAGGGGCCAAGTCTCCTAGGCTGGGTAGCTCTGACCTAGCTCTGGGGTTCTGACCCTTCTACACCGGGAGCAGGAAGGAAAAATCACTGCCAGCCCACACCAACAGGGCAGACACATCTCCCTAGGGTTGCAGGTATACAGGTCTCTGTGGGATAGCTGTGCTAGTAGGACATTAGGGACCTGCCACGTGGTGACATGTTCATCTGTGTGTATATAGACATACATATAGAGACAGGTGCATATATAGATTCACATACACCTGTATGGATGTTGAAGGATTGTTTCCAGTCCTTTGATACCCTGCCCCACTGAGGTGTCTCCTGTCAGGCAGGTCAATTAGGTCAGTGTATCTTGCATAAGATGTTTAAAGCAATGTGAAGTGCTGCTGTTCCCCCTTGCTGCAAGGTATGGCCAAGAGAGTGGGAAGGTGAGCAACTCACCTAGGCGCAGTTGAGTGTCCCCTACACAGGTGGCTGGATAAGGGGCAGCATTCACTGCTGCTTATAATGACTTGAATTGAATTCATCATTATGGATGTCTTGTCAGCTATCATGGGCAGTGGCTGACCCTTCACTGATGCCTCTGGCTTCATTTCTGCGCCCCACCATGCTTTCTGGCAGTGGCTTTCTTCTCCACTCTTCACAGCAGCCACACCATCACCCACACTTCTTACTTACCCTCCAGCCAGTCTTGCTTTCAGCCAAGATGCCACCTCACACACCAACTCGTTTCTAACCTTTGTGACCAGAATCTGGCAGGTTTGATTGGGACCAGCAAACTTGGAAGCTTCTTACCCCGGGAAGACAGCTGGCCACACCTTTCTCTTCTCCAAAACAAAGTTAAATGCTTCGGGGGAAAAAAAAAGAGTGAGTGGTCTTCCTTTCTGTTCTGTTTTTCCATCCTCTATTTAATAGCTCCAAGCTCCTCCTTGCCCATACCCCATCTGTGGTTCTGCACACATCTCTTCAACACAAGAGGGAACCCCCCTGGTACAGACACTTTCTCACTGTATTCCTTGGCTGAGCTCATTGTCTAGCTGAGTAAAAACTCAATGAGAAAAGGTCCTCCTCTTTTGGAAGCAGCTATTCCAACACTGCTCCAGCATCAAAGATACCCGTTAGCATCACGTCGCTGTTTTTGGCTTAATAAGGCATACCAAGAAAATTAATTGTTTTAATCATCTCTTCTCTAGATGCACATAACTTCACAAGAAAACATCTGATTTATCTTTGCTTGGAAAACTAGCCTGGCTTTAACATGCCCCCAGAACACTTCCTCCCCACCCAGCTTTGACCAGATTTATTTTCTTTTTAGAGAGGAGTTTCACTTTCTAATTTCTGACTGTCTGCAGGATTTTCCTCATTCTCTATATTCTGGAGGCTGCATCTGCCCTTGGCCAGTGATGCAAGGCTCAGCCAGAGCAGGTACCAGGTCACATATATCATCGCTTCTCATCCAACCCACCCATGTGTGTTCCCTCCATGAACATCATGGTGCGGGTTGGATTCCAGGTCCACTCGGTCCTTGCTCCCAGAAGCACAATTGGTGTCCTGGCCCAGGATGTCCTCCTTGTCTCATGGTATTGCCCTGGAGTCACTGAACCTGCTCTCAGTGTTTGCCTTAAAACCTCACCTACTTTGATTGCTCCAGATCTGGGGCAACAGTGCAGCTCGCTGTGATGTGAAGCACATGGTGGAGGAATGAACAGCAAACCTCATCCTCTGCCAACACTTTTCAGGGTTACTTCTTTAATGACTCCAAGTGGTACTGAGAGCTACAGTGAGACAAAGGAGGCTATAAAACAGGCCAATCTACCCTCCTCTCAGGCTATCACAGCTGATCTTACTTATTGCCAGTGAGCAATAAAAACATTTTAACCCTGGGACAGCCTGTGCTCCACACGTTACCCTCCTTCTTGTTCTCCAAGGAGCTTTGAACAAAATTAAGAGGGAAAAAAAAAAAGAAACACAAAGAAGAAGAAATTATGCTTAAGGAGGAAAGAACTGGGAAAACATGCACTTCTTCCTGAAAACTCACCCAGGTTCCAGTGATCAGCATTTCTTGAGCCAGACATGGTGTCTCCATCTAATAGCCCTTGATGGCTTTTATTTCGAGGTATCCCTTTTTGAACTCTTAGAAACCTCAATATACCACAGCAGGGACTTCCTCCTCTCAGCTCAGCATTGTGGAAAGAAACCAGCTCCACTTGCTTCCTTCTAAACAAGACACCCAAGAGCTTAACCTGGTGAAAGACAGTTCCTCCTTGCCTGCTCACAGCTGTAACCTCATCTGCCCTGTCAGGGCTGAATATACCGACCCTGTTCATGGTGCAAAAACTATCACAGACCTTTAAAAATCCTCAGTGCTCTTCTCTAGCACTAGTGAGACCACTGCTGTACAGAGCATCTGAGACACGGGTGCACCCTGGCTGCAGATAAACTGCTGCAAGCAGCATTTCCATTTTGTCCCTTTCCTAGACATTCCTAAGGTCTGTCTCAGACATGATAGGGGTTAATCTATTCCTTGACATCTCGAGAGCTGCAGCTAGCAGCCAAGTGCCTGTAAAACAGGGCAACCCCACTGCATCTGCCACATACTTGCACAGCTTCCTGCCGACAGTGTGCTCTGCTGGGTCGTGGTGTGGCCAACCCTCACTCTCAGGCAGAAGTGAGGCTTTTCACCTTACACCATCAGCTTGGGTTTGAGCTGAAACCCAGTGCAAATCCCAGATGTAGGATTTCATGTACAGGAGTACTCCTTGCATCTCTACCTCTACCATGCAGTGAGTTGTCACATATTTCCAGGCTAATTCTTCTCCAAAAGGTCTTCAGGGGCAATCAAGAGCACATTGTGCTAAACAACCGAGTTACCTCAACCTGGTAGACACAGAGAGAGATGACAAGAGCAGGTTAGTGTTGAACATGAAGACTCTACCATTGCCTTGCAGGATGCTGCTCTTCCACATCAGCACTTGCACTTACTGAAGCAGATGGCACAGTGTGCTCCAGGGAAGAGAATGGCAAGTACCGCAGACCCAAACTGCTTTCAAATAGATACACATGTGCTTTTGTTCACCACAGCACATTCATGTCTTCCTTCTTGATGGACAGTGCTGGAAACAATATTAGCTGCGTAGGAAATGTGCCTTGCTCTCTGCTTCTCATACTGCGAGAGCATAAAAGACAACATCTGGTGTGGGGTTCCAGGAATGACATGTTAACATCAGCCTGTCCACGGATCACCTTGGGGTTGTTAGCCTAGGAGATCCAATGGTTGTGATCATACTGGCTTGATTTGGTACAAATCCAGTCACTTCCTAAGCACACACATCCTAACTTCCTAAGTTTTGGTTGGGGACTTGGGTCAGCTTCCCGTCTCCTACAAGGTCTCTGGATCTTCAGATTAAGAGATGAAAAGCAGCAGGATGGGGTCAGCACCTTGCAGTCTGGCATCACCATGCAGCTCTACTGCCAAAGTCAATCATCATTAGCTGTTCTTCTTATCTGGCAGATGTCCAGAAGGTGGGCAGTTGGAGCAAGAAGGGCACCAGCTCAGGCAACTACAGCTCTTTGTTATTGTAGGGTCAGCATTTTGTGATGGACTTTGGTATGTGCCACATTTAGTCTTTGCTGTTGAATGTTTGCCTCGACTCTGGAACCAGCAGAGAAATCCCAACGCTCAAGCAATGGAGAAGAGTGCTCCATGAAGATGTGATGGGAGCAAGAGACATAGACAAGGTTGGTATTCCTCTCTGGAAAAAATACTGCCTAAATCCTACTGATTGCAAAAGTGTCATCCAGGATGGGCATCTTGGCTTTATTTTTTGGTTCACAGCAGCTTTGCTCTCTGCCAGATCAAATTGCACCACACACTGCTTTACAGCGACCGGGCTTTTAGCCCTATGCAACACACTGCTGTTGCAGTACTGCCCAAAAGCAGGCACCTGGGGAGCTGGGGCTGCATCCAGAGCATCTTGCTTAATCCCATGAATACCAGTCCCCACAAAAATAGAAACAATTGCCTTCTCACAGAGGAGCTCGTATCAAGTTTCTAGTGCTCACAGCAGCCAAGATAAACTAGTGTTATCTTTGTGACTGCTAGTTTATTTTTTTTTCCCCTGTAATGTTAAATAAATGAGGAATTTCTTTTGTGTTTTGATGAGGCAAGGGGGTTGGATTATCTTCTTACCTTTATGACATACTGTGCCCACTTAATTTTTGCCTTAATGACATGGAAAGTGTGCTTGAAGCCAAAAATGGAGCAGGTTTGCCGCATATAGCAAGTGTGTTGGCAGAGGGACTGGTTCAGCTATTCAAGCAGCCCACGTTATTTAAACAATCCTAAACCTCCAGGGGGCCTTGCAGTTAGCTCAGCATCTCCAGAGTTCAACATCTGGGACAACGCTGCCATGTCAAACTCACTGAGATGAGACTGGAAAACAAGTGGAGGAGAGAGCCCTGCAGCCATGGCTCTGACACTGCCTCAATTTTCATATAAGAAGTAATCAAATGGGCTTGCCAAGACTGCTGGGCAGGTTAGTCTCCTGTCTCAGAGCAGGGTTTTCATTTCCAAGATGCAGTGTTTCTTTCATTTTACTGACAGAATTTTAATCAAGATTAAATGAATAAATGTAAAAGGTTTTGCCTCCACTACTGCTCACTGTAACTTAACCTTGTCTCAGGTGGCTGTTGGTAAGACGCCCCACCAGCCCTCCCTGGAAAACCTGAGGGAAGATTTTTAAATCTCCTGTAATCAAGCAGGATGCCCAGGAGCTACTGAGATCC